AGGGTGGGAATCATGGGTCATGGCCAAGGCCACCTGTCCCTGTAGACCAGGGTCCAGGGCAGAGCCCCAGAAGGCTGAGGCTCCGAACACGAACCTCAGCTTTCCAGGTCCTATCGTCTAGGTCGGAGGTTAGGACCTCGTTTATGCAACTGCTGGTCACCTGAGTTATAACTCTGAAATATTTAGAGACATGGCATGTGGCCAGATGTTAAGGACACACACGTGTGTGTGTGTATAATTCTAAAATTCAACTGGCGTCATGATTAAGAAAGAGAAATGTTTTTACTCAGGTCCTTTGCCCATTCTTCAATGAATTATTGTGTTTTTGTTTTTGCTATCGAGTTGTAAGATTTCCTGATGTATCTTGGGTATTTGTTACCCGATGTATGGTTTTCGAATTGTTTCTCCTACTCCGTCGGCTGCCTTTTCATCCTCTTAATGGTTTGATTTCATGTAGTCGCACTTGTTTGTTTATGTGTTTGTTGAGTGTGTTTTGGTGTCACATCCATGATTTCACTGCCAAGACCAGAATTTAAAAAAAAAAAAAAAGGCAAATGGCTTGAATAGACATTTCTCCAAAGAAGACATAACAAGCGGACAAGAGATATATGAAAAGATGCTCAATGTCACTGACCGTCAGGTAAATGTAGATCAAAACCACAACGAGGTATCACTGCATGCCTGCTAGGTGACTATAAAAAACAAAACAGCCCTGGCCAGTTTGGCTGAGCAGTTAGAGCGGCGGCCTGCGGACCACAGAGTCCCGGGTTCGGTTCCCACTAAGGGCACATACCTCGGTTGCAGTTTGTCCCCACCCCGGTTGGGGTCGTGTGGGTGGCAGCCAGTCGATGTGTCTCTCCCACATCGATGTTTCTCTCTCTCTCTTCCTACCCCCCCCCCTGCTCTATCTGAAGATAAATGCAAAGAAAAAAATGTCCTCGGGTGAGGATAAAAAACAAATACACAAGTGTTGGCAAGTATGTGGAGAAATTGGAACCCTTGTACTCTGTTGGTAGAAACAGCAAAAGGTACAGCTGCTATGGAAAAGAGTACAGAGTTTCATCAAAAAAAAAACAAAAAAAAAAACAAAAGCAGAACCACTCTCTGACCCAGCAATGCCCAAACTGGAATCATATTCATAAAGAGATACTGCACCTCCATGTTCTTTGCAGCATTATTCACAATCACCAAGATACGGAAACAACCGCAAATGTCCAAGATGAACGGATAAAGAAAATGAGGTATATACACAAAATGGAATATTACTCAGCCTTGAAAAAGGAGATCCCACCATGCCTGGCAACATGGATGAACCAGGAGGACATTATGCTGAGTGAAATAAGTCACAGAAGAACAAAGACTGCCTGATTCTACTTCTGTGGGGGAACTAAAATAGTCCCAGAAGCAGAGAATAGAACGGTGGTTACCAGGGACTGGGGCCCCACCGAGAAAATGGAGAGTTGTTTAATTGGTATACAGTACAGTTTCAGTTATACAAATGGATACGTTCTAAGTTTCTGCTGTATAACACATGATTAACAATACCGTATTGTGCCCTTAAAAGCTTAGTGAACACCCAGTTCCTGCTGAGACCACACACCATGCTCGGCACGGGTCTCAGTGACTTCTTACACCTTGTTATTTGAAAGCACAACTCAAATGTCCTGCCTCTGGGAAATCTTCCCAGGACCCTACTGTCTTGGCACTTACTCTGCCTGTAACTGGGTTGGGATATGACCAAGGCTCAAGGGGAAGGACCACCCCCACCCTGGCCTTGTTCATTTCTGCATTGTCAGCACTTTGCCCGGTGCCTGGGAAGTAGGTAGGCACTCCGTGATGTTAAAGGGGTTGACTTTAAAGCGCAAGCTTGTTTTCCAAGAGAATGTGTTTCTTTTCCCAGCTACTTAATTTGCAGAAGTAAGCAAGATGTGTGCAAACTAGCTCGAGGCCTCCGGAAACTAGTACGAGGTGGTCTCGTTAATCTTGGTTATTTTCGTGTGACTTTACCTTTTCTTATTTTATGACAATTGTGGTCTCAATTACCAGACCACACTCTGCAAGCTTCTCTCATGCTAATAAAAAAATAATATGGCCATACTGGGGACGTCCTTGGGGAACATGTCCTGTATCAGGAAAAGTAGTTAAGCTCCGGGGTCTTAAAGGAGCCTGGGAAAGTCTAACCAGAAACGGTGGGGTTGGGTGTATTATCTATTTAAAAACAGAACTGGGTTTTGCAAATTTGATGATGCCTTGGCTTATTACGTCCATGAACTGAGAATTAAAATTTCCAGTTGTTACTTTTACAATAGCATTCATGTGTGAGTCAGTGTCGGACACAAGAAGACCAGAAGCGACTGTGGGCAAAGCACTCGTCGATTCTCATTCACGTAGGCTGGGAACCAGGTCTGTCGGAGTCATAGCTCCTTCCACCACAGTCCTAACGCTCCTGGACTCTCAGGAAGGCCTTTGGTTTCTTTGTGGGTGTCTGCAGGAAACCCTCTAATCTTTGTGCATCTCTCACTGAAGCATTCTGGTCTGTGGACCGGGATCTGGGCTGCATGAACACCTCAGGGGCACCATGAATTCCTGTGGTCAGAGTTTCAGCTTCTCCGTGTGGGCTAAGATGTGTGATTTCATTGAACACTTGCAGTCCCCGGCAGGTACACTTCCTGCTTCCATAATCTTCCAGGGAAGAAAGACATCAAGCATGTCATTTCCCCCAAGGGTTGCTCTCACCTTCCTGGGACTGACCCAAGGATTCCAGGGGCCCTGCAGCATTCAGTCCCTCTGACCGAATTTCTGAGTTAACCCTTCTGATATCTGATCACTGCAGGGAGGAGGGAAGGTGGTACGGTAGGCCTGTTCCCTAGCACAAGCAAATGGGGGGGGGTGTCCCCATTTACTAAGGAACAACTTTACCTTCATCATATTATTTGAGAAAAGAAATCTCAGTTGGCCCAAACAGAAGGCTAGTCGATTTCTAGAAACAGAGAGACCAGCAGGTAGTCTGTTGAGTTGGCAACATGCAAATGATGAGGCCTTTGGAGCACTTCACCCAGCGGGCTTGGTGCTCACAGGCTCTGCCTGAGTGGAGTGGCGGGAGTGAGGGTCTCAAAGCGGGGCCTCCCCTGTGGCCTCCCCCAGCCAGGACCCCTGGGAGCCCCCCACCCAGCAGAAATTCTCAAGGGCACGCCCTCCTCATTCGCAAATTAGTCCATAAACCAGGTCAAAAGATACAAAAATTCTCTACTGGAGATGGAGGTGGTGACTCTCTGGGAGGACTCAGCAACCCCGCCCGCGCATCAAGCATTCCCTTTGAAGAAAACCACATCAGGCCCTTGGAAGGTGCCATAAACATCCCGAGGAAATGGCCACTGTGAGTGGCCGCTAAGCTGCATCTCCCTAGGGAAATAATCAGCACCTCTTCCCCCAGACAGCTCCAGGTGAGCGAGTGAGGAAGGGCGCATCTTCGTGTTCTCGGCCTAACTGTGCGCTGGTGACAAAGCGCGCTCCTCTATTGTCCCCTGTGATGCTCAGTCCGGCAGGTGTGATTTCCCCCGGGGCGCTCGCTCACTCTTCCAGTGGTCCAGCAGCGCGCACTTAGGGAGCCTCTGCCTTCGAGCCCAGTAATCACCCCGCTATCCCCCGAGAAAGGCCGTAGCTGTAGCGGCCACATGGCCTCATTGTCTTCGGTAGGCGTCTGGCAGACCGGGCACAGGGGGCGCAGTGAGCCCGGCGGCGCCAGAACAAAGGAGCGGAGCGCGCGCGGGCTCGAGGGGGCATCGCCGGGCCGGCGCGGAGGGAGACCGAGCAGAGAGGGACCCAGCGGCGCGCCGCCCGCCCCTCAAAGCCTCCTTTCTTCTCGCTCGCTCCAGGAGCGGCCCCCGGGACATCCGGGAGGGGGCGCAGCTAGCGGTTCCCGTCCGCTCGTCCCGTCGCACCCTCTCTCCGCCGCCCCCACCCGAGAAGTGCACAAAGAGCGGTGCGGGGCGAGCGCACACCTCCCGTCGGGGCGGAGCCGCGGGCGGGGCTGCTGCGCTCCGCCGCGCCCGCCTTAAAGAACCCGCCACTCCTCGCGACCACTGCGCATGCCCCACCGTGGGGCGGGGAGGGACCGAAAGCTGGGCGCGCACCCTGCGTCTCCGGCTGGCGCTGTGGCCTGCGTTCCCGCGGTGTCAGCGCTCGTGCGCGTCTCAGCGCACGCGGGGTCCGGGCCGGTGCATGGATGGGCTGGTGCAGGACCCCGGCAGGGTGCATTCCAGGGGTCGCTGGCAGCTGGGCGGGCCAGGCCAACGCTGCAGCCGGATTTATGATCCACAGTTTCAGGGCCAGTTGGGCGAAGTGCTGTCCAGGGGGACAGAATTGCGGGCGCGCGCGCGACTGGTGATTCGGCCGGGCGGATGCCTTTGTGTCTCGTGCGCTCTCGCGCAGGTGGGCAGCCCGCGCCGCGAGCCACTTGCCCGGGGCGCACCGGGACCTCGAACCCTGCTTTCCGCGTCCGAGGGCTCGGACCACCCTTTGGGGCACGCAAAAGACCCTTCTCGCAATTGCACCTTTGGTTCTAGGGGTGGTTTATTTGGGGACAGTAACGGGACTTCCTAAGGACTGCTCTCAGAGCCGGGCCCCTGGCGTCAGAGTTGGACTTGCTCTCTTTTCTCGGTTAGGCGAGAGAGGAGACCCGGGGACAGCGACTGTCCCCGGTCGATAGATACATGCAAGTGTCCCGAGGCTGCCGGTCCCTCATTAGACAACAAAGAGAGGCGTTAGGGGCGGCGGGGGCGGGGCGCGGCCGAGAAGAGGACGAGCGGGCTGCGGCGAGCTTGGGTTTGGGGGCGCTCGCGCTCCGCTTGCTCAGCCCGCGGCCTCCGCCCGCCCCCTGCCCGGCGCGCGCCAATCGCCTCCCCCAGCGATAGTGTCAGTAGCATTGTAGTGTCAGCTCCCGCCGGTGACGTTGCGCCTCCCTCGTCCCCCTCCGGAGCCGTCTGGCTGCAGAGGCTCAGTCAAGAGGCGGGGAGCAGAGAAGGAAAAAGCGCTGAGTGAGGGCGGGCGGGAGGGAGTGGAGGAGCCGGGGAGGGGCTCCTTAAAGAAACGCTGCTGTCGCTCGCCTGCTCGCTTCTCTCTCGGCATTGTGGCCGGCCAGCCGGGCACTCGGGGGGCACGCGCGGCTGCCACTCGAACTCAGCCCCCACCCCACCCGCCAGCAGACCTGGGGTGGGGACCCAGGCGGGGGCTCCCGCAGCCACTGCCCGGCGCGGACCGCACGGAGCGACCCACTCCTTCCGGCGCAGAGAAAGGAGCCACGGAACCCTCTGCAGCCAGCCGGCCTCCCCACCCCGACCGCTCGCTTCCCGGCTGCCTTTGTGGCCAGATCTTCTGAGCCGAGGGCCGGCGGGGGCGCGGCGCGCACGGCCGAGCGATGCCCAGCTCGCTGTTTGCAGACCTGGAGCGCAACGGCAGCGGAGGGGGAGGCGGCGGCGGGGGAGGCGGCGGCGGCGGCGGCGGGGGAGAGACCCTGGATGACCAAAGAGCCCTGCAGCTCGCTTTGGACCAGCTCTCCCTCCTGGGGCTGGACAGTGACGAGGGCGCCTCTCTGTACGACAGCGAGCCGCGCAAGAAGAGCGTGAACATGACCGAGTGCGTGCCGGTGCCGAGTTCGGAGCATGTCGCCGAGATCGTGGGGCGACAAGGTGGGTCCGGCGAGGATGGGGAACTGGAGCGGAGCGGGTCTCCGGCCACCGCCCAGCGGGGAGGGCTCGCGAGGGATCGGGACCCGCGGAGCCCGGGAGCCTTGGGGAGGGAGGAAGAGCCGCGCGAAGGGCCGGCGCCCCAGACAAAGAAAGTGCTGGCAGGCTGTCTCCCAGACCCACGCCGCGGCCACGGCGGGATGCAATTCTCTTGCTAAAACCACTGCCTTCTCCCCTGGCGCCCCCCACCCAGCCGACCCCGGGAAATACAATTTAAATAGAAGATGCTTGGGGGAGGGGGCCTTTGATCGGTCCACTGGGAGGGGGGAGGAGGAGGAGTGAGCATCGGATGGAGGAGGATTCTGGATTTCTGCAAAGCATAATGGAGCCCAGAGGAGGAACAATGGGTCCCGGGACTGCCCCCCTTTCCCAGCGGTCCCCCAGCGCTGGGGGATCGCAGCTCCGGCTGCCTTCCCAGAACCCCTTAGCCGCGTCTTCAGGGCGGACGGCGCGCCCCGCTGGATCCCAGAGGCGTCTCCCCAGTTGACTTTTTCTGGGATTCTGGGGTTTGGCTCCGGACAACTGCAGTCACTGGGGAAGGTCTGGGCAGCCAATGGGCTGTTCCTCGAGCGCTTCGCGGGTGGAACCCGCTTCCCGGCCCGGGGTCAGGGCGGGAGCCGCCCCCTTTCTGCCCCTCGAGTGTCCTGCCGGTCCGCTGCCCTGGACACGGGCTGTCCCAAGTCTCCTCGCTTATTCCGGGGTAATGGGCGTGTCTCTCTCTCTCTCCCACTCCCTCCCCTGCACCCTGGCTCCCAGGTTGTAAAATCAAAGCGCTGCGGGCGAAGACCAACACTTACATCAAGACCCCGGTTCGCGGGGAGGAGCCTGTCTTTGTTGTGACTGGCAGGAAGGAGGATGTGGCCATGGCTCGGAGAGAGATTATCTCTGCGGCGGAGCACTTCTCCATGATCCGCGCCTCGCGGAATAAGAACACGGCGCTCAACGGCGCGGTGCCGGGGCCACCCAACCTGCCGGGGCAGACCACCATCCAGGTGCGGGTACCCTACCGCGTGGTGGGCCTGGTGGTGGGGCCCAAGGGCGCCACGATCAAGCGCATCCAGCAGCAGACGCACACGTACATCGTGACGCCCAGCCGCGACAAGGAACCTGTGTTCGAGGTGACCGGCATGCCCGAGAACGTGGACCGCGCTCGCGAAGAGATCGAGGCGCACATAGCCCTGCGCACTGGAGGCATCATTGAGCTCACGGACGAGAACGACTTCCACGCCAACGGCACGGATGTGGGCTTCGATCTGCACGGCGGGTCCGGCGGGTCCGGCCCAGGCAGCCTGTGGAGCAAGCCCACCCCCAGCATCACGCCCACCCCCGGCCGCAAGCCTTTCTCCAGCTACCGCAACGACAGCTCCAGCTCTCTCGGCAGCGCCTCCACAGACTCTTACTTCGGCGGGGGTACGGGGGGCAGCGCGGCCGCCACCCCGCGCTTGGCGGACTACAGCCCTCCTAGCCCTGCGCTCAGCTTTGCCCACAACGGGAACAACAACAATGGCAATGGATACACCTACACTGCAGGGGAGGCTTCCGTGCCTTCCCCCGATGGCTGTCCGGAGCTCCAACCCACCTTCGACCCGGCTCCCGCCCCCCCGCCTGGGGCGCCCCTTCTCTGGGCCCAGTTCGAGCGGTCCCCTGGAGGCGGACCTGCAGCTCCCGTCTCTTCTTCATGCTCTTCCTCTGCGTCTTCATCAGCTTCCTCGTCTTCAGTGGTCTTTCCCGGGAGCGGCGCCAGCGCGCCCTCCAACGCCAACCTGGGGCTGCTGGTGCACCGCCGGCTGCACCCGGGCGCCAGCTGCCCACGCTTGTCCCCGCCCTTGCACATGGCCCCGGGGGCGGGCGAGCACCACCTGGCTCGCCGGGTGCGCAGCGACCCGGGCGGAGGGGGCCTGGCCTACGCGGCCTATGCCAACGGGCTAGGGGCGCAGCTGCCGGGCCTGCAGCCTTCCGACACGTCCGGCTCCTCGTCGTCCTCCAGCTCCTCCTCCAGCTCCTCCTCCTCCTCCTCCGGGTTGCGGCGCAAGGGCAGCCGCGACTGCTCCGTGTGCTTCGAGAGCGAGGTGATCGCCGCTCTGGTGCCCTGCGGCCACAACCTCTTCTGCATGGAGTGCGCCAACCGCATCTGCGAGAAGAGCGAGCCCGAGTGCCCAGTCTGCCACACCGCGGTCACTCAGGCCATCCGCATCTTTTCCTGAGGGCAGTGCGCTTGCGCGCCCCGCGCCGGGGCGGGGAGGACCCTCCTCTCCATCCTCGCTCCCCGCGCGCGCGCGCCCGCCCGCCTCCCCGGTGCCCGACCTTCTCCTCCCCGCCCCGCTCGCACTCTGCGATCCGAGAGGAGCTTGGAAAGCTGCAGTATCCACTCCGTGTCACCTTTTAAGTGTTCAGCCAAGGAACTTGCCGGGATGTCTGCATCGAGAGTACTGTAGCCTGGGAAACCTGCGCACCACCTGCAATGCATGCTTTATAAATAATAGGAACGGCGACCTTCTAGTAACGATAGTTTTTACACTGTACTTAATAGGAAGCTTCCGAGAGAAGACAACCCCACGAGTGTTCCATTTTCTTAAACAGTAGGAGAGCAGTGAACAGTAATTATTATGGAGATGATAAGAATAGTGCTATGGGATGTGTAGACTTGTCTTAGTGTGTACCCCTGTGTGGCTGGGTTCCGACGACGCTTGCTCTAGGACACAGCGGACCCTTTCTGAATGTCCGCGGGAGGGCCCGACGTTCCTGTGAAGGATACTGCAGCTTTATTAAAGTTAAAGAAACTGTAACATATCTCTTATATATGAAAAAAAAAAAACACACGAAACGTTTAAAAGTTTTAAAGAGAAATTGCATTAATACAGATGGAAGTATTTTATTCTTTTTTGACTTGAAAAATTATATTTCATATTGCAAAGATGTTTACAAGTATTTTAATTTAAGTTCAGTGAACTTTTTTGTAGCTGGGTTAAATCTTTTTATTTTAGTATGGCCTTATGGCAAAGAACACTGTATTATTTTAATAATCACACAGTTGTGACCGAATTACAAAAACCATAAATGTGTAATGTTTTGAACAGTATTCTGTTGGGATGGAGATTTTATAGGTTCAGACAAATCTTCTAGATCTGCTTCACCCAGCATATTTTCAGTGATATAAAGCATATTTTATTCTATATTATTACAAAAAGAAAAAAAAACGGAAATGTATAAACACGTCAAAAGGAACGGTTGCTTTCTAACATTTGTATAAATAGAATTCAGTGCAAGTCACAAAAATTCTGCCGCACCACTCTAGTTTTAGTATTTCTATTTTAATACATTTGTTTACCACTTGTTTATGTATATGTAGGTGATGTTACTTGAGCTTAAATGTACTTTACTGAGCAAAGTTTAAAAAAACAAAGTATATTTTATTTTATGATAAAGGGCCTTTAACCTCATGGTCAAATACTAATATTATATTTGCTGAGACAAGATTTGAAATTGTATCAAGAGTTTTATTTTTCTGACATTTAAAGTTCTACATAATAAAGGTAAAACTTAAGTAATGGTGCTACTTCATTTTTTAAGTATTTCTATATAAATAAAATATTGAAGAAAATCTATATGGTGTGGTGACTTGATTTTTTTTTTTCTTTAAGCCTTTTGGTGTACCTGTATAAGGAATCACTATTATGTGACAAGTTAAATAGCTAACTTCCAGGCATATTATGTCAGTAATTTTTTTTATCAATAGAATGGACTTACAAAAGAGGCCAGAGTTGTGTTTGGTTGGATGTATGGGCCATGGGTAACAATATATATGTGTGTGTGTGTATATATACATATATATGTGTGTGTATATATGTATCAATATATATGTATATCTATGTACATATATGTATATGTATATATATGTATGTATGCATATATATATATATTTTTTTAATAGCAAGTTTCTACTGAGTCGGGGCTTCTCCATGAACAGTGGGCACAGTGCCTAGGGCTCACGATACTTTCAGGGGCCCAGGAAAATGTTTAATTAAAAAGAAATTAAAAGGAAAACCATCTCAAAAGCAATGTTTTAATTTTCAGACCTATACAAACCTATTGGACATTGCCTAGAATTTAAGAAAATAAAACGTTACAAGTATTTAAAGTTACTATCAAAAATAAATTTTGGTATCATTACTGTGGAGGAAGCAGCCCAGAAAGACAGAAGTGTGTGGGGTCCAGGAAAGTCATAATCTGGCCCAGCCGGGGCGCCTAACAGCACAGGGCGCCTAAGGGCTGTGCTTGCTGTGAGTTTCCACTAAGGGTCCCTTCCTTGGGGAGCTGCGGGGATGCCGGCTTCTGCTTGCGGCCTGAGCTGGATTTGAACACTGTCTTAATAGGCTGCGGGCGCAGGGCTTGCTAATTGGTGTTGACAGGCTCCTGGTGTTAACTGTTTGTTGTTGTTTCAGAGAAGTTATTGTTTGCTCTTGGCAGGCTACACCTGCTCCCTGGCCCCGGGGCTTTGTCAAGGGGTGGAGCCCCGCGTTCCCTTGGCCCCAACTCTGCCTTTTGCAGAGAACTCGGGAATGACCAGACCCCCGGATCCCCAGCGAACTTCCTGGCCCAGCTGCCCTTGGAGAGCGGTGTGTGCCCAGCCTGGGGCTTTTATTTTCATGTGTGTGTGTGTGTGGTGACAGGTGGGCGGCATTTAGCAGGTGAATCCAAAGAGTGCCCATGATAGGTGAGTGGTTCCCGTTACCGCTTTGTGTTGTATTGAGAGGTTCAGTCGCTGCCCACGCTGCCGTAGCTCCTGGTTTGCTTGGTGCACATGGAAAGGCAGGACGCCGGCGTCAGAGGTGGAGGGGGGAAAGGGGTGTCCTTGCTTGGGAGATTCCTGGCACCACCTTCAACTCGGGAACGTTCCCAGACCACGTTTACCCCGTTTCCTCTCCCTCAAGGGCCGGAGGTTACCTGAGGCCTGGCAAGGGGCAATACTATAGCCCCTTGCCCCGTGGTCGCTGTTCCGAAACACCGAGGACAGAACCGAGATCTTTGTACACTTACTTCTCTGGGAATGCGACTTTGCTTGTCTGCGTTATCCGAATGATTCCCGAGGAGGCAAGGAAACGTCCAAAGCCTTGATTGGTTGTGTTCCGCAAGGGCTCTAGTGGGGGGGGCGGGGGGGGGGGCTCAGTCCGTAACTGCTTTGGAAAATGGAAAAAGATCAGATTTTGAGGCTGCTTACAAACCCTCAGGTGGCCTATATTTGTGCTTTGTTGAGAGACAAGTTTCCTTTGTTGACATGCAACTATGGGGCTATATTAGGAATAAAACTACACTTCTTAGGCGAGATCTTTCTGTCACTGGGTTCCCCCCGAGGGCAGGCCCTTGTCACCCACGAGGGTGTGGACACTTGCTTATGGTAGTCGTAGCGTTAGATTTCGATCCAAGGCAAGCCTCTGTCTCCCCAGCTCCCCAAAATGACAGCTGTGGAGGCGGCCACTGGCTGTGGAGGTGACGGTCCTGCTGGAGAGATGAGAGGCCCCCCGTTTATGCCCTGACTGCCGGCGGCTGCCCTTTTTGCACCCCTCTGAAAGCTTCCTGCAAAATGCCAGCTGACAGCTCTCTCCCTAAGTGCCCATCTCACACACTAGTGGTGCTCAGCTGGGGGTGCTTTTGCAAACCCCTCTCCCCCTGGATTTGACGGTCTCTAAGAGGCAGTTTTGGGTGTGACAACTGGAGGCCCCGCTACCGCCATCTAATGGGTGGTGGCCGGGATGCTGCTGAACGTCCTCCAAGGCACCCAACCCAGGTGGAGAGACTGTGATATGCAAAAGTAGACTCTTCCCTGCTTGACCCTCTGCCTTGACATTGGGGATGCCCTTGTGACTCTTAACTGCATGAAGATCGACCCCCGTGGTGTTCTGGAGTTACCCCCTACCCAGGGGGGTGCTGGTGGTATCAGGAGTATTGGGGGGGGGGAGGGGACGGCCTGACATCTGAACAGGAGGTCAAACTGAGGAACTGTTTTTATTCGCCAGAGGTGTGTTGTGCTCAGACAACAGTCATGTGTACGTGGACTGTTCGAAGAGCCTCGGTTTCCCTTTCTCTCCCGTGGTCCTCTCCACGACCCCAAGGGCAGTGCGCTCAGATGTGACTGTGCCTGTTGGTAGTACAATGCGAGGACTCCAAGCGCAGGCCGGGGTTTCTCACCCCCACTCGCGCCCCTCCGGCCTCGCCAGGCTGCCTGAGCTCCGAGCTGCGCGGCCAGTTCACGCAGAAATTCTGGGCGTGGACCTGTGCCCGCGGCTCCTCCCCGGCCCCTGACCGTGGGTCCCCTTGTCCTACCAGAATGGGGCTCGGGGAAGCTCCTGTCTCCGGTGCACTTGAGACACTGAGCTGATCCGGGGCTTTGCTCTCTGCAGCCTCATCTTTCCATGACGTGCGCATCCATCTGCCCCTCTGAAGGGGTTTGGCGCCTGCGGGCCGGTGCCATCCTGGTAGGCATGGCCCTCGCGGCGGTGGGGGGCGAGGTGACGAGAAAGGATGGACATTGTACGGCTGCGCTCACTTTCGCCCTGTGATAAGAGCATCCCCAGCTGGCTGGCCAACGGGGCCCTTCTGGCCTGGGTCCTCCCTCCCTCCCCTGTCCCAGTCGAAACCTGCCCTTGCCTCCCCCACCCCGACAATGATGGCGTAGTGCCAGCGGCTCTTCCCACCTAGGCCAGCCTGTTTTCCGGGAGGGGGACGTGGGGGAGTTAGGCATTCCCGGCATTGGCCCTGGCGACGTTGGACGACGGTGGCCCTAGTTGAGGGAGCTTCACGCTGAGTCAGACTCCCCTGCTTGGGCTTTACCCTAACCCGCCCCAGTGGGGTAGGTACGAGTAAGCCCTCTTCCAAGACAAGGAACCGAGTCGGAGAGAAGTTAAATGACTGACTGGAGCTCACCCAGCCCCCAAGCCCCGGACCTAGGATTCCACCTTAGTCTGTCCAAATCCGAGGCCCTGTCTTTCCTCCTTCACACAAATGACTTTTATCGGAGGTGTTCTCAGAAACAGTGGGCACTCACCGATTGCAACAGAGTCAACCTTGGTGGAGACGGGCCTTCCTTAATAAGTGCAAGTAATTTGAAAAAGTGGAGCAGGGCCCGGCCGGTGTGGCTCAGTGGTTGAGCATTGACCCTGCCCCAAGAGGTGGCCGGTTCAATTCCCGGTCAGGGCACATGCCCAGGTTGTGGGCCCGATCCGCAGTGGGGGGCGTGCAGGAGGCGGCCAATCGATGTCCTCTCTCATCGATGTTTCTATCTCTCTCCCCCTCCCTCCCTTCCTCTCTAAAATTCAATAACAAAAAAAAGAAGCAGAGCCCAGTAGCTATAACGATGCCAGGCCACACACCCTGCCACTGAGCAGAACCAAGGACACAAATAGCACCTTACGGGCTCACGGGCCCTTCGGTGAGTGTTCCCAACGCCCCGGTATCTCGGCTGCTTTGTGACCAAACAGGGAACAATAGGCCAGTTCTGTAACATATCCCCTCCAGGTGAACCTAAGACATTTGCCTCTGATGAGGGTAAAACGAGTACAGAATCCTAAGGAGGGGAAAAGCTCCATAAAAATGTCACATGAACTAATTGAGATAGTGACTGACGGAGGCCAACACCCCGGCTGAAAAGGGGAAGGCACTCAATCGCTCCGTCCCCGGAACACCAGGTGCTTTGGTTTGTCCCTTGTTTTCTCCCACGGATGTCATTCTCCAGGGCACTGGTTCGACCTTGTGGGACCTGGTGCAGCCCCTTGGGAGTCTTGGGGGCCAGTCCTTCAGTGCACACGTGTGCTCGGAAGGGGTGCGTGACTCTGAGGGCCGCTGTGGGCCTCC